AGCCGCGCTTTCCCCTCGGGGTCCGCTGCTTGGGCGACGGGCGTGGGGCGCGCTGGGCGGTGAGGCCATGTGGGGCCCCGGCTGCGCGGCGCTCTGGGTGCTGCTGCTGCTGCAGGTGGGTGTGCAGGTGAGTCCCCGACGGCGGGGCAGGGTCCCCGCGGCTCCCCTCGCGCAGCCCCCAGTCTGACCGAGGTGTCGCCACTGATTTCCAGCAGGCACCTGCGTGCGCCTGGAGACCCCCAGCGGCCTCACCTGGGAGCCCGAGCAGCCGGCGTCCTCCAGGTCCTGCGGAGTGGCCCGCCGGCGTGAAAAAGGGCGGTAAGTCCGCGAGCGGGGTTCCAGTCCTTGCAGGGTAGCCGCTGGTGACCCCCTAACGCGCACGTTCATCACTTAGGAACTCTCCTAAGACACCTCTGCTTCCCATGAGGGAGCACCTGAGTCCACTCACCAAGACTTACGTTATATTTCCGTGTGAACCAGCAAGAACTCACCAGCGTTATTACCACAAACATCAGAGGGAAAGGCAAGGGGATATATTTTATTTTAAAAAATGAAAGAGCCAAGAAGGAATCTAGAGGTTGTATGAATGTGCGCATCGAAGAATTTTTATAAAGAGCATATTACTCAATTCTCCACTCCGTCCCCCACCCCCCGCGCCCCGCCGCACCTGATTTTTAACTTAAGCTCTATCCTAGACTCAGAACCCGAGGCAGAGGTAGTCATTTCTGCTCAGCACTCACCATCTGAATATCAAAGTTGGTGCTCTTCAAGAGCATAGTGTGGCATCATAAGCAATGTCCATATCCCGTGCCACCGTCTGTCATAAAAACAAAGCTGACCTTTTTGCACGGCGTGGTTTGACTTCCGCGGCTCAGAAGCAGCGTTTCACAAACAGCACTGGGGAATTTCACATTTCCTGGGTCAATGGGAAAGCAGGTGTGGAACATCAGTGGCTAGATAGATGGTTATCTCTTATTTGAACCCAATCCATTGGGCATTATTCAATGTTAGTACTTCACATCATTTCCAACAATGAACGGTCATCTTAAATGTGAAAAATGACTTTTAGAGGGAGAGCAAGCTTTGATTATCACAGCATAATTTCAGAAATTTTTGAAAATTAAAGAGGTAATAATTCAAAATACCTGAATGTAATTTCTTCCCCATGATAAAATAATTTAATGTCTGCATTTACTGTTGAAATTGTCTCCTTCTGGCCCTGGACAGTGTGGCTCAGTTGGTTGGAGCCTCCTCCGCATGCACCAAAACGTCGTAGGTCTGGTTCCTGGTCTCGGCACATACCCAGGTTCTGGGTTCAATCCCCAGTTGGGGCTCTATCGAAGGCAACCAATCGATGTCTCTCTCTCCTCCCTATCTCTCTCTCTCTCTCATCAATTAAAAAACATATCCTCGGGTAAGAATTAAATTTTTTTAAATGACATCATCTCCTGAACGAAGATATAAATCATATATAAAGTGATAAAACAGATGAATGCGGGAACAGAGGATCTTTTCCGGGACCACCAGAGGGCGCTAGATGTAAATGATAGAAAGATTTAAAGCTCAGTTTTCACTGTGTATTTAAAGCTCACCTACTTGGGGTTGCCCTAGTCGTCTTTATTGTTTCTCTTACCATGCATTGCATTATGCAATGTACTTATCCACATTACAATTTAATTGCACCCACACACACACTTAAAAAATATTTTCGTAAAAACTTTAGTTTTCTAAAATTATGAAAATTCCTGAAGGTCTCGGGAGATTTTCAGAGTACTTTATTAAGTTTCCTTTAAGATAAGAGTTTTATAGACAGAGAAATATTTATTTCCAGGAGGAGAAGCCAAGGCATCCCGCCTAAGTGTGCTTTTCCAAACCCTGGGAGAATAGATCCCTGTGAGCTGGACTCCCTGCTGGCTGGCACGCAGCTCCAATCTGGTAGGCGCTACAGCCCAGATTGTCCATGACAGCCACACACCTGGCTTGGTCAGAACCTGAAGGGGCAGGTGCAATCCATCATCAGTGAAGTCCAGCTTAGTGGACAAACCACCCTCATTCCTCATCTGCATTTGTTTTAGGTCTTTAATTATAATAGACTCAGCTGAGAGAGTGAGTGACTGTCCAGGGGCGGCTTTCACAGAACCAGAGAAAGATTTTCTCCTCAGCAGTGTTACCTGTTTCCATGGAGAACAGCAGAGCTAGAGTACACTGTGTGTGATGCTGGGGTCAGTTTACTGTTGGAAATCCAGGCATCCGTTATGTAAGTTGAAATAACTCTTTTGGCCATAATGTTCATTTAAAACATATTTCAAACTACACTGCAAGTTTTGCTGGCTATATGAAATAATTATGCCTCCATACACTTTGAAGCGACAAAGGGTAACTAAATTGAGATAAATTCTATTTTCAAACGTTAGGAACACCCATTTTTTTTGTCTGATTTAACATTGCTTTCCTTATTACTGAATGATTTTTCCTACAAATTTGCCACTGTAATAAAAATTGTGGCTCCTTTTAGAGCAGGAACATATCACAGATTTGCTAACTTTTTAATTCTAGAGTAAGTTAAGCTCCTAGGAAGTTTTACAAGATCCTCAGAACTTTGTTTCATTTGGCATAATAGGTCTGTGTTTGTGCTCTGGACATTTATATTGATTTACATTCAAGCATTCACATCACAGGAGGCAGGGCAATGTCCTTGAGGTTGGCCCAGTGGTGTAAATGTTTAACAAGAGGCTCTTTGGAGCTCTGATTTGGAACGTTTGCTGGTTAACATGGGGTCATTACTCCCACCATGGCAGATTTCAGGTTAACGATGTGACATCCCTAAACACAGAATGAGGAGACAATGTGCAAAATCAGCTCTCTGCAGCTGGTCAGCTCAGCCTGAGTACACGCACAGATGGTCCACACCCCACGCCCTGCGCCTGAAACCAGAGCAGTGGTCGGAAAACTGTGGCTCAGCAAACCGCGGCTCGCGAGCCACATGCGACTCTTTGGCCCCTTGAGTGTGGCTCTTCCACAAAATATCAGCTCTTCCACAAAATACTGACTTCTGCACATGGGCCACGAAGTTTCAATCGCAATGTACATGCGCGCCCACATGTGTTATTTTGTGGAAGAGCCACACTCAAGGGGCCAAAGAGCCACATGTGGCTTGCGAGCCGTGGTTTGCCGACCACGGAACCAGAGTCTTCTAGGCTGGTTGCTGTGGTCAAAAAGCTTTAGACATCAAGTAGTCCAGGGTACTGACTGAAGCAGCCATGTGTATTTTTCCTTCTTAAAAAAAAAAAAAACCTGATTAGGACCAAGATCTTATTTAAAGGATTCTCAAAGGTCAGGAATCACATTAAGTTTTTCTTGAAATCACAAACCAATAGTTTGGGGATTATAATCTTAAAACATAAGATGAAAAGTTAGTTTAGAATTTTCAGTTTACTGCAATTATATATTAACTGCCCTCCAAATAATAATAACTGTATGGTGAGATTCTGTAGTTATTTTGTTCATTCATTAAATTCTTTAGCTATAACCTTTTTCACATTGATTTACTTTTCTTCCTTTTTATTGAATTTAGTGGGTGACTCTAATTAACAAAATTATACAGGTTTCAGGTGCACAATTCCACAACTCCTCATATATACACTGTATTGCATGATCACCACCTTAAGTCTCCTTCCATCACCATTTACCCTCCTATAACCTCCTCCACCTCCCATTACCACTCCTCCCCACCAGAAGTCACCAAAGTATTCTCCATGTCCATGAGTTTTTTCTTTCTCTGTTATTTTTTTGTTTTTTGTTCAATCCCTCCACCTCCTCCAGCCCCCTACACTCCCAGATAACTGTCCGTCTGCTTTCTATCTATGAGTCTACCTATGTTTATAAGGTTACTAGAGGCCCAGTGCATGAAAATCGTGCACTCAGGGGAGGGGGGTGCCTCAGCCCTGACTGCAACCTCTCGCAGTCCAGGAGCCTTTGGGAGATGTCCAACTGATGGCTTAGGCCCATTTCCCACAGGGAGCGGGCCTAAGCCATCAGTCGGACATCCTTAGCACTGCTGCAGAGGTGGGAGGGGATCCCGTTGCGCCAGAGCTTCTGGCTGAGCAGCACTCCCCCTGTGGGAGTGCACTGATCACCAGGGCGCAGCTCCTGCATTGAATGTCTGACCCTCGTGGTCAGTGCACATCATAGTGACTGGTTATTCCACTGTTTGGTTGATTTGCATATTAGCCTTTTATTATATAGGATTTGCTTGTATAGCATCAGTAAGGTGGAGATACTATGTAACTGTCTGCTACTATGCGTCTCTTCTAAACTCCATGTTCAGTGATTTCACACACTGGTAATCAAAATCAGCCATGGTGGGAGTATTTACACCAGAGAAATTGGAAAATGCTGCAAACCAGCCTGTTTTCCCCCCCAGACAACTGGTGTCACACATTTATCAGCACAACATCACATGTGTTTATGCAAAAGGGGCTTATCAGTCATCATTTTAAAAAATAGATAATATCTGCCATCCAAAATAAAGGTCATGAGAATATGGCTTATATCATCTGGAAACAATTTGATTTTTTTAAAAATGGTAATCATCTTTTTACGTGCAATAAATTTGAGGGTTAGCCAGTGTTTGGAGCAGTCCACGTGCTTCTGTGCTCACTCCAGGGCCTCTGTTGCAATGGAGACAGGCTAGTGGTTACTGGATAGTACTCCCTGAGAGGTCCAGAGTGCAGGATGACAGGTGATAACTGGGCCACATCACACCAGCCTGTCCCCTTAGTCCAGAAATCCAGGTATGGGGAAGGCTGGTTGGCCATGCACTTTTTACTTCTGTTTTTCAGAATAGCTTAGGCTGTGATCATATACTTATGCCACACACACACACAATCCTGACATGTTTTCCCTTTCTGCATACAATTTAACTGGGTTTGTTTTATTCTCTCATTCTCCTAAAAATTATGAAATGATTCCAATGTATTTTACCCTATGTGCCACAGTGCCCTGCTTCGACATATATTTCAATGGTTGGTTATCATGTTGTCTGCCCGAACCTGCTGCCTGTCTAATCTGCATCTAGCCCATCTCATCCATCACCCTCAAAGTGCCTGTTCATTTATACAGGGCCAGGCCTGTGGGCCCAGCAATTGGCCCAGAGGAGTCATACACCAAAGCTCTTGAGCAGAGGAAACAGAAACCTGGGGTCACAGAGACCACAGCCAAGGTCTCAGGTATTCTGCCTCTTGTTTAGATTGGCCCTCTGGCCTCAAACCCTCACCTGCCATGGGCTTTAGCACAGGCACTCCACCCTTGGCTTTCCCATCCTTGGCTTCCTCTGCCTCTCCCGAACCTGAGGCATGCCTTTTCTGACCGTACCTGGATGCCACCCGCTCTGTTCCATGTAACCACAGCTATCTGCCAGGACAGCACAGGGACATGTAGACAGTTTTGTTTGTGAATAAAACCTACTTTTCCAGAAAATAAATAATTACTCGAGTACTGTTCAGTTGTGACCAAATGCCGCTTCTGTAGGGAGATGTTTTATTTTATCTCATGACTCCAAGAACTGTGTTCAGCTCACATAAAGGCTGTATAGAGCCCCAAACAGAACAGCCTCCTAATGACATATATTGGTAATAAAAGAGAAATATATATATATATGACATTAGAGTCTGCATGAGAATATTAGTATCCGGGTCTCATTAGGCATGCAAGAGGTCTTTGAAGACTGTTCACCTCATTGCAGGCGTAGATCTTCCCACCCCTCTTTAGTGCTGCAGCCTAACATCTGTTTCAGGCCTGTTGGCATACTAAGCTGCTATTTTCTGATCATTAGAAAAAATATGGGGTAGGCAGCAGGCCCTCTTGGGAGGTGTGCAGGCCCATCACTAGCATGCAGATGGAGGCACATATACCATTGTTAAAATATCTGAAAGGTGTAAATCAAGCTAACACATCATTAACTAGAAAATTTTGACCCCAGCCTTGAAAAATGCAGCTTCACGTGGTCTCAAAGCCCAGCTCTGAGTGTGGGGGATGGCCTCACAGGGAGAGCTGCCCCTGGCATGAAGCCACCCCTTCCTAGACAAAGACCTGTCCTGGTTGGAATAGCAACAACCTTTCCCGACCTTTGGAGAGCAGAGATGATATCATTAAGTGATGGTATCAAGAGAACAATCCTGGCTATAAAATAAAAATAAGCAATTTTCTATAAGGGGGACACTTTTTGAAGAAGAAAACTACAATGTTTACAGGAAGCCCCTTCCTGTACTTTTCACAGAGAGGAAGTGGCTCAGGTGTACACGGAGTACAATTGTAAGACTGTGATCGAAGTTCCGCAGACCTATATGGGTGCCCAGAAATCTGATAGCTCCTTGGAATTTTCTTGACTTAAAAAAAATCATTTATTTGAACTTGGTTTTGGCTAAATACTGTGAATCCCAGTGGGAAGAAGAGTGTGGCACATGTCTTGGAAAGGCCCTGGAGTGTGAAATAGGATCAGGCACTAAGAGCTCAGGCCAACTGGAGGGTCACCGGTGGCTTTCATTGGGAGCAAATACACAAATCAACATTTACAAATGTTCACATCTGGGAAAACCGAAAGTGTGTATTCTGCCTTTTCTCCTAGATGTTCAATGATTTAGTAACCAAATATCAAAAAATTAGCAGCAAAGAATGCCCATCATATTTGTCTTTTTAACTGTTGTCTGAAAACTTGACAACATGATTAAGCCAAAATTTCTTAGCACAATGGAGATGTTTGTAAAAGACTGAAATATATGACTAAAGAAATGTTTACTGCTATAAAAATTATAGTAAAATTATTAAATATAATAATCAAAGTCAATTTTTTAGTTTTACTCAGCCTACCATCTGTTTTCCCTTTGAAGTGTTACAGAATTTGCTGGATTGGTTATAGGAACAGCAGTGACTTCCCTTTGAAAGGCCACTTTTAAAGTATTCCCTCATCTCTGATTTTTGTGCATTATACAGTTTGGACTTGTGGATGGGTTGATATTGAAAATTCCTCCATCATTTTGTACTGATTGAATGTGTCATCTGGTAATAGGTTACATTTGAAAACTTTTGTATTCTGTTTTTTGTTGTTGTTGTTAGCTATTTCTTTTTTTTATCTTTAATTTATTTACTGGTTAAGGTATTACAAATATGTCCTCATCCCCCCATTAACCCCCAACTCCCCCCCGACTCATGCTCTCATCCCCCTGTTGTCTGTGTCCATTGGTTTGGCTTATATGTAAGCATACAAGTCCTTTGGTTGATCTCTCCCTCTTACCCCCACCCTCCCCTACTTTCCCTCTGGGGATTGAGAGTCTAATTGCTGCTTCTCTGTCTCTGGATCTGTCCCTGTTCATCAGTCTATGTTGTTCTCTATATTGCACAAATGAGTGACATCATGCTGTATTTATCTTTCTTTGACTGACTTATTTCACTTAGCATAATGCTCTCTAGTTCCATCCATGCTGTTGCAAATGGCAAGAATTCCTTCTTTTTTACTGCAGTGTAGTATTCCATTGGGTAGATGTACCACATTTTTTTAATCCACTAATCTGCTGATGGGTACTTAGGCTGTTTCCAAATCTTAGCTATGGTAAATTGTGCTGCTATGAACATAGGGGTGCATATATCCTTTCTGATTGGTGTTTCTAGCTTCTTGGGGTATATTCCTAGAAGTGGGATAACTGGGTCAAATGTATTCTTTTTGAGAATTCTGAAATTACTCTTCTACTTTCAGAATATGACCTGGTGTCTCCCTATGAGGTCGACTACAGTGGCAACTACGTGTCCCACGAAATCGCACACCCTCAGAGGAGGAAAAGGGCACTGACCCAGCCTGGAGTGGACTCTCTTCACCTGCGACTGAAAGGCTCCAGGCACGACTTCCACATGGAATTGAAGACATCCAGCCATCTGGTGGCTCCTGGATTCATCGTACAGACACTGGGAAAGGGCGGCATTAAGTCAGTGCAGGCTTTCCCACCTGAGGATTTCTGTTTTTATCAAGGCTCCTTACGATCCCACAAAAATTCCTCAGTGGCTCTTTCAACCTGCAAAGGTTTGGTGAGTATAGCTCTTGCTTTCCTGCAATGAGTTGGTGGGAACAGTGATGTGTGAAAGAGGAAAAATGACCCATTTCCCTTAAAATATTTGAGCTCGATCTTCTATTATTGCAGTGAAGACTTCTTTAATCTTAAAAGCTGGAGAAAATTGCCAAATAATCAGTTTAAAATATGTCCTGCTGCCTTCTTTGGCCCATTTGAAAATAGCACACACATGTCTAGCCTTTTGTTGCCTCTGCTGTTCTAGAATAATTGTGGGAAAGCACCACACCTTAAAAACTGTGCCTACAAATTTATGGCCACCTCTAAAGGCATTGACATTTTAGAAGATGGCTGCACTCTAACTGCTGGTCCATTATTAGTGTCTTAATTTTTAATAGAATGCAGTACTTAGCTGATTGGCCATAGCAATTATCTGATCAGTTGCTTGAAGCACTTCTGTCATTCTGAAGAGGACTAGTGGCCCGGTGCACTGTGTGTGTGTGGTGGGGGGGGGAGTTCCCTTAGCCCAGCCTCGGGCCTAAACCGGCAATTGGACATCCCTCTTGCAATCTGGGACTGCTGGATCCTGATTGCCTGCCTGCCTGCCTGCCTGATCGCCCCTAACCACTCTGCCTGTCTGCCTGATTGCCTCTATCTGCCTCTGCCATTTCACCCCCAACTGCCCTCCCCTGCTGGCCTGATCTCATCCCCAACTGCCCTCCCCTGCCGGCCTGATCGCCCCTAACTGCCTCTGCCTCGGCCCCCACCACCATGGCTTTGTCCAGAACAAAGTTGGATGTCCAGAAGATGGCTGGTTGACCTGGTCTAATTAGCATATTACCCTTTTATTAGTGTATATATAACATGCTTGCAAACTTGGGTGTTCATTTCAAATGGGTTGATGAATTCATGGCAGGGCATTGCTGATCTTATCAGACTGATGATTCTAGTGGTGCATTCCCCATTTTCTTAATATCAGAATGAGACATTATGCATCATTTAGGTGCTTCATGTGGTCCCCTTTACTGGGACTCCTAGAGTGAGGGTCATCTGGGCAAGTTGAGAAGATACTGACCTTCAGGCTGACCTAAGCTGAAATATTAATGGTTTGTCTTTGACTTTCCTTAAAATGTCTTAATATTTTTAGGAAAGAAAATATTGTTAGATTCTTTAGCATAAGTTAATCAGTGACACACACAGAGGTATAACTTAGAGTGAAAATGTGTGGTCCTTAAGGCAGGGGTCCTCAAACTTTTTAAACAGGGGGCCAGTTCACTGTCCTTCAGACCGTTGGAGGGCCAGACTATAGTTTAAAAAAAAACTATGAACAAATTCCTATGCACACTGCACATATCTTATTTTGAAGTAAAAAAACAAAATGGGAACAAATACAATATTTGTATTTGCATGTGGCCCACGGGCCGTAGTTTGAGGACCCGTGCCTTAAGGTCTTGACCATATTAAAGGTTTGGCAAACAGGTTTTTGAACATTTATTACATATCTAGAAAGTGCTTTAAGTCTGCCTTGAATTTATTTTCCTTTCTTGAAAAGGGGAAATCAGACTATATATCAGAAGAATTTTGTGTATGTATGTGAATAGTGGGTGCTGAAAGAGCATTCATAACCAACTTCTTAAATACTGAATATTTGTAGATGCTAAATCCTGTTAATATTTTTAAAAATATATTAACTTCTACTTTTTAGGGGAATTTGGTATGGGTTGGTCTCATGTCCCCTTTCATTTGTAAAAGGCTTCTGGTTTGACAATGGATACTGTAGGAAGTGGCCAAGGATAGGGTGGTGGTTACTTGGCAAACTTGTTAAGCATGAAGAGAGTGTGGCTGATTTCTTACATGCTTTCCCAAGAAAAATAGATCATAATTACTGGGCTAACCTCTTCACATAATGCACTAAAGGAAGATAACTCTTCCTTGGCTTTCTTCAACAAAGGTTCAGACCAGAAATGGAAGCCATCTGTGTGGTAGGGAGATGTGCCATGCCCTTTAGAGCTCAGTATGATTGGATTCCTTTGCAGAGATTGGGCAAGGCGTTCCCAATAACCCAGCAGGGGTGCAGGCTCACTGGCTCTAGGGTCTCTGTGAGACCAGCCTCTCCCAGGACCTCTGAGCTGTGCCTGGAGTCTATCCCATGAATCGCCTTAGCTGGCAGCAGGTTGAGATTTCTGCCTCTCTTTGAACTCATTGAGAGTTAACAGTGAAAGTTGTAAATTGCAATTACATGAAAGATAAAGAATTGAAAAATAGGAAAAAAGCCTCTTCTGGATAATAAACACTGGAATTTAATATTTTGGTCACTAGAATAGAAATCTGTATGATTTCACCATTAATCTTCCAAATACATTAATTCCGACTTCACTGACACTTTGTCTGTAGATGGCCATTACAAACATGACCTCAGATAGACTTTCGAGTGTGAGGTTCAGGGGATTTTGCCATATGATAAGACAAATCAAAGTCATATTTAAGGAAGAAAAAGGGAGGATAAAGAAGTCCTCTCTCTCTAGCCAGATTTAAAAAAATAAAAATGTTGAATGGGAAGGTCCCTCATGTGGCTGCCAAGTCTGTTATCTGTTTTCTGATTGATGGTTACTCAGTCCTCATCTTCCAAATCTGTTAACATATAAAGAAAACTAGCATGTGTTTTAAGTTAGATAATGGGTCTTTTTTGTTATTGTTGTTCTTGGTTCTTTCAGATTCTAATTAAGTTCCAAGTAGATCTCAGTTAAGTGTTTATTTGTTTGTTTGTTTATTTTAACAGGGTTTCTAGTTGACCCAGCCATCTTATGGGAGTCTAGAGTCAGTAGAATTCTCTTTTGTCTGCTTTGCTGTAGGTAAACACACCTTTGTAGATCCTAGTGGAGACCTCTTTGAAAATAAGATACCTGATGATGGGAAATAACCAATAGTCCATTCTTCTGATTTCATCTGTAGTATGGAACTATTTATTACCTTTAAGTGAATATATATTGTTTAAATAAGAGTTTAATATGTTGTATCGTTCAACTTAAAAAAACTGGTTTACAATTAGCAATTTCCAAACTGATAAATAGTTTTTCCTCTGGACATCAGATACGGAGTTTGGGAACATATTGCTATAGTCCTCTAATAAGTGATTTGAGGAACAATGTGGAATACGTTTGGCTGTTGTGAGTAGCGCTGCTATGAACATTTATTTACAAGTTTTTGTGCAGATATATGTTTCATTTCTCTTGGGTTTATACCTAAGGATATAATTACTGGGTCATATGGAAATTCTATGTTGAACATTTTGAGGAAGTGCCAAACTGCTCTTCACAGTAGCTGTACCATTTTGCATCTCCCCCAGCAATGTACAAGGATTCTAATTTCTGCCCATTTTGGCCAATTTTTGTAGTCCATCTTCTTTATCATAGCTGTCTTAGTGAATATAAAGTGGTATCTCATTGTGGTTTTGATTTGCTCGATAGAGAGTATTGGTTGACAGAATTGTTGTTGTATTTGGGGTGTTTTTTCCCCAGTACTTTGGAAAAGTCATCTAACTGCCTTCCGGATCCCATTGTTTCTAATTATAAGTCAGCTGTTTGTCTCACTGTAGTTTTTATGTTGCTATTTCAAGATTTTCTCTTTGTATTTCAGCATTTTTTACTAGGACATATATTGATATGGGCGTCTTTGTGTTTATTCTTTGGCACTCCCATTATGCATATGTTGGTGTGCTAATATTTCCAACATTTCTCTGAAGCTCCATTTATTTTACTACATTATTTTTTTCTGTCTTCAGATTGCATAATCTTCATAGATTTATCTTCAGGTGTCCTCATTCTCTGCTGGCAGTTCAAATATATTGCTAAGTTTCTGTAGTAAGTTTGCAACTTAAATATTGTACCGTTCAACTCCATAATAATATCAAGCTCTTGGCACAAATCTGAATGAACTTTAGTTCCTCTTGCATAAAACATATTGTTTGTTATGGCATTAATACATAGAATACATATCACTTCTCCTAATATGTAATTATTCACGTTTTTAACAATTTTGGAATACTTGTAAATGCCACATTTCTCAGGTCTCTGAATTTCCTCACTTGGTTGGAGACTTACTTTGGACCCTGGTTTGAATTATACAAGGTTTTATTTCCAGCCACAAACCCCAGGGATTCTCTGGAAACTTTAGTCATTGAGAGTTTCTCTAAAGCACCCAATAAATCCTAGGAAACTATCTGAAATATTGCCAAAATTTCAACTGATGCTGAAAAATGTTCATGAGTTAGAAAAATAAAATGGGAGTACAAAGAAAGAATCAACATGAAGATTTTCAGAGATAATATGAATTTTAAAAGAAACGTGTCACTATCTGAAAAGGCTAGTGATAGCAAACCCAGTGGAAAATATGTCAGTCTGGGAAGACATGTGAGAGAGTTATAGAAAAAGTAAAGTTTTTAGATAAAGTATGACCAAAATTTGTGGATATTAGGAAACATAAAAAGTGAGTGTGGAGAACTAAATGAAAATACTTGATAATTCAATAAATTTCTGCTAATTAAGAAAAATATAGTTAGAAATTTGAAATTTATAAAATTGAATTTATTAATCACTAGAAATAGATCAAAGGAACATTTTATAAGATAAACTTTTATACTTGAAAGGACCAAATATTTTTCCAATAGCTTACCATTAGTTGTAAACAAAAATTAGAAAAAATTAATTATAAAACTTAGGGTTTTGTTCCACTTTCCTTATAGATAGGAAGTATAATGGAGATGATTATAAGTCTATGGAAGAAGACAGGAAGTCCACAGGGGCAGACAGGAAGTCCAGAGGGGGTCAACAGGATGTCTACGAGTAACCAAAAGGAAATCCACAGGAAACAGGGAACAGGCAGAAAGTTTATAGGGATCAGACAAGAAGTTCACTGTGGGCAGACAGGAAGTTCACAAGGAGAAGGTAGGAAATTTATAGGTAGAAGACAAGAAGTCTATTGGTATAGTTAATTGACAGTAAATGGATGTATCCAATATGG